AAAGTTATTAATGGGCTTTTTTATTAGTTTTAATGATGAGGAATATAATGAAGATTATTTAGTTACAGAAAAAGGAAATAAATCATTAATAAGACTATAAGAGTATAAGACCATGACAACAATAACGAAGGTATTGCTACCGGTGGTGGCACGATAACGGCTCCTTGTGTTTGCATCTCAGGTTTATCGGGCTCTGATGTTTGGTTACAAGCCTTGATATTGTTTATGTCTCGCTGCTGATGGTGTTGTTGTGGTTTGCGTTACTTGTGCGTTCTGATTTGGCTTAGTTAGTCTTGAGGCTTAGAGGAGCTAGTAAGGCTGATTGTGGATAGTGTAGTATCGATTTGTTTCATCCAGCTCTGTGCTTGCCAACGATTTTGGGAGAGTGAGCTTAGATTGTCTACTTTTATTGGTTCGTGAGGTTTCCTTATTGAGATGGCTCATGGGTTTGTTCTCCTAGTTGCTCTCGCATGACACAAGGGGTGTATATGATCGAATTCTTTGTAGTCTTTCCCGTTGACGGCTTAGTCTGGGGCTTCCGGTGAACGGCTTCTAGTGTCATGAGATTAGGTTGGTCGGTTATGCGCCTTGTTTCTTCATCCTCTTCTCGAGCATCCAATTTGGTGAGGACAATAATATCGTCATCACTTCGTAGTGCTCCCTAAAATGTGTGTTTTAGGTCGAGGTACGGACTGAAAATGTTTTATATGCTTATGGTTCCACGTTTTTTTATCCTTTTTTGCCGTGGAATCATGCCATAAGACTATGATTTCGATTGTAATCCTAAAACGATTCATTTTTTTAAAATGAAATATTAACCATTTAGCAAAAAACAACGAGCAAATAGATATTTTGTTAGGTTTCGTATAGAGAAAATTTACATAAACCAAAAATATATATATTGGTTATTATAAATACGCAAGGTAGAGCTCCACCATCTTGTTTTTGTTTGTTTGTTAATGGTTACAAGCTACAACATCATGTTCCCCATCACAATAAATCTGTTACCATTGTTATTCACAAATTCACTCAAAAAGTATTTAATTCGACGTCGTTAATATGTCTTCATAAACCCTTAAGTGTATATATATAACACTCAAAAAGTATAAATATATATAGTTGAACAAATCTTCATCTTTTTTAGTAAATCCTACTTTTACAAGCAAAATTGATAACAATTCACTTTAATTATACTTTTAATTGATTTAAGTTGAGACTACTATCAAGCCAATATAATTTGTTACTGATAAACTTGCACTTGGCAAAACAAATGGGTTTCTANAGATAAGATTTTGAATTAAATCTATAAATTTAAGGTTATTACTACAAACTTTCTCGCTTTTTAGTTTCAAAATTTTAGACTCTACACATTCATTGGCAGAACCTAACCAGAATGATCATTCTGACTTATTATTCCTTTTCGGTTTCAGAAAACAACAAAAGAAATATCTAAGCAAACGGCAAAAGACATTCATGTGCATAAAACAAAGTAAAAATTATGACCTTAGGGCAAAAAAAAATTTACTTTTTAAGTTTTCTCAATTCATCCCTCAAAGCTTTCTTCCTTTTGCCATATCAGTGGCCTCCTTGAATATAAGTTGTTCAATAGTTTTCACCTTGGCGAGAATGGGCTGATAGTAATTAGGGTAAGAATACAAACACCTGAACAACATCAAAGTAGGTTCCTTACACTTGGGGCTACCACTTCCTGATTCTTCCACACAATCTTCCATAGCCTTATATATATCTTTGCAACCACCTCCGTTCATGAACTCGCAAAACCGCGCTTCTCCTTCCTCTTTTGTGTCTCCTACTTACGACTCGAATAAAGGTTCCAATTCCCTTTCCACCAGTTCCATAATAGATCTTTTGTACGCTTCTCCAAATACCACTTTATCTGCCAGGTCGGAATTAATACTTACCATGGAATTAGGTCGAGAATCAGGTCGGAATTGATGCTTACCATGGAATTAAATTAGTCGTCGATACTCTTCTCTTCGATGTTACCGACTCTGTTTTCGACCTTATTATGCTCTGTGTAAGTGTCTCTAATTGAATAATTATGGATTTGATTTGTATCAAGTCGTTAATTGGAGCTTCTAGATGTTGAATTTGAAGAACTATAGAATTGATTTGAAGTGAATCGTTGTGATGTTGAATTTTGATAGTATATAAGCATGAGTAATGTATCAATTTGATGTGTTTAGTTAGTTTGAAAGTTGATTGTTGTTTTTGGTGGTGATTTAAGGGAGGACTACATGGAGGAGAGACTCTTAAGAACTGTAAAACGTTAGAGAATATGGTGAAGAAACAAGACGAAGATGGACTGCTCAATGCTGCTATATGTTGTGCACCGGCGTTAGCGTTTGGTACTTGGGGGTCTACTCAAGCTCGGCCCATAGGATAGGCGGATTAGACCATGGCCGCTAGGGCCACCACTTGAAAAAAAATTTTAGGGCCACATATCTTTTCATAGTAGTGATTTATTTAGACTATAAATTACAAATTCTAAAGTCTCTACAAACTATTTTTAACTAGGTAAAGGACCCGTGCGTGGTTTGTCATTTGAATTATTGTTTGTCAAAAAAATTAAATGGTATATGTCAAATAAATTTTGTGTAATACATAGAATTAAATTATAGAAAAAAATTAAATGGTATATTTCTTTTTAAGGAGTGAGTATAAAATGACTTATATTAAGAGTAAGATAATTAAAAATAGACGTAAATGAGGATAAATATAAAACGATTCAAACTTAACTAATGTCTACTACATAATTGCTATTTCTCGTAATAGTAGTTTTTTTCTCTCTTAATAGTTATGTAAATAATTTCATCGAGGAGGCCCCTATTCATGAAGGAGTGTTGTTCAAATGAAAGTGAATATAAAATGATAAACATAAAAGTAAATTGGCCAAAATTGTTATTTAATACTTTGGTACATATGCAAT